GAACAAGATACAAGACACAGATAAATTATTAGTATGTTATGAGAATAAGATTAACTGTTACAGATACGACGAATGATACGAATTCCGCATTATGCTATATAAGCCGCCACCGAGAGCACAAGCCGGATTTCCCGTACCAAGCCTCGAGCTAGGAGGATACCGATTGGCAGGCTAAGCTACCCCTCCGCTGTCACAGGCTGATGCCTGCCCGACCAGCAACTCAGTGATCCATGTTGTTATATTTAATTGCCTCAGTGTATTGCTTGATTCTTATTTTATGTCATAACAGATAAACTATTAGTACAGCTAGTGTTCGGGTATCTATCAGCCTGAGCCGCTTCCACGGCGCTACGTTGAGTGGTAGCAGCGAGTGGTTCCACCGCCACAGAGGGAAGGTAAGTCCTTTTTTTGTAGTTTTGCCCTGGTGGTTACGATTCATTGTGGACGATCCGTAAGTTTCTTTTCCGACCTTAAACGAACAAATAGGACTGGCCATCCTGTTTGCTCCGAAGGCCGTGAGCTTAAGCGGGCGACATCGCTTAGGGTCATCAGTGATTAGTTCCTGCCATGAAGGGAAGGTGAGTTTCTTCGTAGTTTTGCTTTCGCCCTGATGGGTTCCCAGTCGGTATTACGAATTTTTCGAGAAAAGACAGTTGTGATAATTTTGTTCTTCAGTTACCTTTTCCTTGATCTAGGATCTAGATCTTGTGAAATTCTGGTAACCCAATAGACTTTTGAACTAAAACGATAAAATACAATTTTCTTTTTTCGAGTAGTTTATTCCCGGGATTCAGCAATTTTTTTGTTGAGTTTTTTTTGGTCAGCAGTTTTATGCTGAATGTAATGTGCACACCTGGTGATGGTTTGTCCGGACCGAGTAGGAATAGAACGCCAAGGAGGTGAGTGTGTTCGTAGTGTTGTTGTGCCCAGCGTATTATCAGGAAGGTATCCTGCGTTCTCCCCGGGTTGAGGTGTGTTTCCTCGCGGATTAAGGGACTCGTGTTTTGGCTAGGCGTTCGCCCAAAGTGAAGGGTAGTTTTGTGTTGCCGGCGGTTGGGAATTATGTTGATGGAGTCCAGTAGAGTTGCCTCGAGGTAGTTTCGCGGGGCGACATCCGCTTGAGGGTTACGTGAGCTCGAGCAGTTTTGCATAACTAAGTATTGATCGATCATTTGCTCTCAATTTAGGTACCTCGTGGTGACAGGCCATTTACATTTCTAAAACCTGCCCCACAAAAAGATGACAAATCAGGTATATACGGGATATATTGTCAATTCAGTTCAAAGTTTACAATCCTTTACGTTTCGTGCTTATCCCGAGCCATTTTCGTATTGTATATTGTATTCAAGCGAGCTATGTATTTTTTCATTTGTTCCCTCATTAATGGCAGCCTTGTATGCGAGATATTTAATCGATCTGCCGTGTAGCATGAGCCGGCATGATCGTAAGCTTGATAACGCATGTCATCCGCGCACTTCTCGCTAGATGAGGCCGCCTGCGTTAGAACGATGAGTCATTTCTTTATATTTTTTCTGTTTCGTTCCTCTCAATTTTTGAAGCGTTTGTGGTGTTGCAGTTCCTTTTTTTCTTATTTTCTTTCATTCCAATAGAAGAACCTTTTTTTAACTGTTATTTCGCCATTCTCTTGTTATATCTAATGATATAAACTTAGTTTACGCGTGTTCGCGTCCCCCTCTGAAAAATAGTTTTGTCCCTTATTGCCAGAATTTTTTCTCTCATTTGGAAGTTTTTTCTACATCTTTTTGAGGTTCTCTCCTCCTTCCTTCTACATTCGAAAGCACACCACATTTATGTTCGTTTTTGCGCTAGTTTTTTTCTCTCACTTTTTGAATACCATTTGTATTTGTCTGAAAATCCTTTATTTCTGTGCAGTTTATTTCGCAGCTTTTCTTGGTTTAGTCACCCTGTCTTCTAGGATAGCTCTCACGGGTCCAAAGCCCTTCCCTCTCCAACCTCGGGACAGTAATGTGACCTGTCCGAGGTTGGCGGAGGAAAAGCGGAGCAGGAGAAAAAGGCGGAGACAAACATTATTACTACTTTCAGCTATATCGACTTTTGTTTTGAAATAATTGATTTGAAACACGTGTTGTGCTCCCTAGTCTTTCTAGCGGGTCTTTATGTGTATTAGTTTTGCTACTGTTACTACTGTTGTCGCTACTGGTCTTGTCTTAGTTCATTTTTGTTCAAGCAAACAAAAATAAAAACGTTTTTCGTTCGTCCTTTCGCTGGTGTTCGTCATTTTCCTTGTTGTGTTCAACGATATTTACTAAAGTCACGCGTGTTCGCGTCTACATCAGAAATAACATTTTTATCGTTAGTCTATTTCATTTGTTCGAAAGGTTTTTTTTACATTTCTTGAAAGTTTTCTTTCTTTTTGCATTCTGAAGCATATCACGCTTTGATGTTTTCTCTGCTTCAGCTTTCACGCTATTCCCTTGAATGATTGCTTAGTATTTCACCTCATCCTCATAGCGAGTTAGAAGAAGCACGTAAGCAGATTGAGTCTCTTTCCTTATCTTCGAAACAAAATCAGGCAGCTCTTGAAAACCCTAACGCCCGCATTTCGACGCTTGTGCAGCGTAATGAAGAGCTAGCCCGTATAGCTTTTGGTCATCATCATCTCTCCACTCCCACATCTTCTCTTCCACATGTAAACTGTTTGTTTTTTTCGCTTCCATCGTTATGCCCTGTTGCATTCTCAGCGGAAGAGCTTTGCGCCTACGTTTCTATTTCCAAAATGCGCGCTCATTTGTTAGGTAATGTCTGGATAAGTGACTCGAAGGAATTTGCTTTGTCATGGCGCGATGACAGCCCGACCCTGGTAGATTGCCAAAACGCTCTGATTATCACTGACCAGGGCTACGCAATCACAAAGGTCAAACCGCTGAAGCGATACACACAACCGCAAGTCGGGATCATAACATCAAATCAACTTGCAGCTGCGGCTTGCGGGCTTTGTAACCTTCCATTGCGGCTGATAGCCGTCCCTCACAAGAAACCAAAACAGAATTTGTGGTTGATCTTAGCAAGGCTGAGGTCTCCGAAGAGGAAAGAGAGCAGCTTCGCGCATTTTTCCATTAGCCTGTGATCCTTGCCAACGCACCACAACCGTGAAGAGCTACTGCCGGTAACTACTACAACCATTTTTGACAAGGACTTGACCGGCCCCTTACACACCTTTAAGTCTGGCAACAAGTACGTGTTGACTATGCTCGGTCATTCTTCCAAATATGCCTCATTGCCTGACTGCAGCGCGGTTACAGTAGCTCACGCAATCACGACCGAATGTATCCTTAAATTCGGGGCCATGACACAGTTAATTTCAGACAATGCGTCGACTACGGCGTATAGGACTTTACCACACCATATCATCACGAAGGCAACGGCGCTTGTGAGCGCATTTTCGCTACTTTCCATCCCTTGCTCAGAACTTACATTAATGAGAATGAGAATAATGAGAATCAATCTGACTGGGACAAATTCATCCAGCTGGTGCTTTCATGTATAATATCTCTGTTCATAGCAATACCAACAATACTCCTTTCTTTTTGGTTTTCGGGGGGGGGGGTCCCCTGTTCAACATCGATTTACTCATCAAACACGACATCCAGAGGCACGTGCCTACTGACCAGGATTCCAGCATTTATTTAGAAAACCTCGTCGCTACTCTCCATGCAGCGTGACGTGCAGCCGCTAGGTATAATGTCCTTCAGCGCAGTAAGCTTAAAACGCAGTATGGTAGTACACATCTCAAACCTCTGTCCATTAAAGGCAGTGTCCGGGCAAAAACTCGATTTTGAGATTTTGTGCTTATACGGGCCTATTCACCATGCTGAATCCAAAAATCCACATTGGAAAGCGCGAAAACGGCGAAAAAGGACTCTAACACAAGAGGGAAATCAGCAGGTGGGCGGGGCTTTCCCCAGTGCGATTTCACGCTCCCAGCTCCCTGAGCGATTTTCTCGATTCCGCTAGCCGTCCTAACATCACTACCGGTCAAGTGCGAATGATTGACTTGGAACCCGAAGCGAGAAGGTCGCTTCGGAAGCTGGGAACGAGAATTCGCAGTGGGGAGGACTCCGCCCACCTGCTGATTTCCCTCCTGTGTTAGAACCGTTTTTCACCATTTTCGCGCTCTACAATGTGCATTTTCGGATTCAGCGTAGCGAATAGGCCCAGGTAAGCACAAAATCTCAAAATCGAGTTTTTGCCCGGACACTGCCTTTAAGGTGGGCGACCGTGTTTACCTGCGGAACTATGCACTTAAAGTGGGACTCTCCGCTAAGCTTACGTATCCGTAGTTAGGCCAGTTCGGGGTTCTCGAAATTAACCATCCTCACCTTAGGATTCTTAGCATCAGCTCATCGCGGTCTAAATCAAAACGAGTTCATATGAACCAAGTTAAAAAATGCTACGAGCCTTGTGGACCTGTGTTCACCACCTCACGGCAATGAACCTGAACAATTATCTCTAGCTCACCATGAAGCTGTGGATGCAGACCTAGTAGGGTATCAGCACGATATTTCAAACCATCAAGATTCTGTGCTGCTTAAGGCCCTGGGCAGAGCTCATGCGATTTCGTCGCGTCGCCCCCGATCATTTTGGACAAGTGTTCCACGCCACGCTGTCTAGTGTGTGGGTCCTGACGCGTTTGTGACGGCTGCGCGGCGCGACGGATCGCGCCACACTTTTCGGCGTTCATAGCTCACCTGGCGATATCGTCGCGATTTTGCCGAATCGGCGCGATGTCGCGTCGCTCGTTTGCGGCGAGCGACGGGGCGACCGTCGCGCCGATCCTGAAGTGGATTTTCGATGTTATTGTTGTATGTTGCTGGTTTGTCTTTTCATTATGAGTGTTTTTGCATGAAATGTTGCAAATGCCAATTTATGCCTATGTTTGCATTGTTTGGAAGGAGTCAGTCCTCATTTTGCATTTTGTCTTTCATCTATCATCTACATTTTCCTACATCTCATATCGTAGGTTGCCAAAAAGATCCATTACAAGCCCTACCCTGTTCGATTGCGCATCGAATACGATGTGCTCACAGTCTACGTTGACGACGCTATGAAGCAAACTCCGAGATATGAGCTTTGCATGAGGTAAAGCAGTATTTTCGTCTATCATGTGCAGCACATGGGTGACGTTTCTAGAGCTGAAAACATCGTTTTGCCTCGTGACGATTCTTTCGGAATGTCCGCAGCCACTGGTGGCATTGCTATTTGTTTCCTATTCCTAATTGATGCTTCCCAACAGTCATTTGATTATGAGCCATTTCTTCCAGAACCACGATGTCGTTGACTTCTCCTTGTATTCTGATCATTTGAGTGCACGACGTGATTATTGTCAAGTCGGATGCTATGTGATAAACTTTCAAACTTTCTTCTTCTGCTGTTACACCTTTTTTTGAATGACAGATGTAGTAAAATCAACGAGAGCACTGATTTTCAGTAATGTATTAGAGTACGTGTAATGTGTGAAGTGTTGTGCAATTGCATGAAATCGCGTCGGAGGTATGCACGCCTCCGGCGACTGAGCGACTCAGTCGTCGCGTCCCAGTCGCCACTTTCGTGCATGTCGTCGCGACTGGAGATCGCGCGACTTTGTCGCGTGAGCTCTGCCCAGGGCTTAACACGACACCTCCACACACGTACAATTCTCGTTTCAAATCACGACGATCTTCAATTTGACCTGCTGGTCACCCCATAAGTATTTCTACACAGCCATACTCACGATTTTCAATCCCGCTCACCAGTTGTCTATGACGCACCTCCTGTTCTGTCACTTCCTCCTATTTCATCATTTCATCAAGATCGCGATCAATCGTCGTGTCGCTGTTTTTTGAGCAACTTACACATAACTACGCTTTGTATTTTTCAGACAAGGCTGGCAAAAAGCCGCCCCTTGCATCCTTACGTCGTCTTCTCCGACTGCTACCACTTCCAGCTCTAGCCCCCACGGGCACACTGGTACTCCTATACCAATCCTGCTCGACCGTCACCGGCACCTTCATTATCATGTTCGTCTCTCTGCTCCCAAGCCGTGATTCGGCACCCTCCAAGAAATACTATACACTTTCTCTTCATAGACTTTAATGGTTGTCCCCAAGCCAAATGCTAATCTTCTCTCATTTAGCGAGAGTCAGATGAAACAATCGAACGAGGATCATCACTATTATCTGAATCTATTGACTTTAACCTCGAGACATCGTCCAAAGCTACGTCAGTTACACACGAAATGGAAATGGAAGAGACGCACATTACCACACATGAACAACCTCAGTCATCTGCGTCATCTACCAAGTAAGCATTTATTTGGTTATTATTATTATTTTGGTTCAATGGCTACATTTATTTTGGGTTTTCTTGGCTTTCTTCTTTCTTTCCGGTTGTTATTTATTTTGGCTACTTCCATTATAGTCACGCGGTGCATCCGGCGCCCATCGAAACCGTGAGGAATCCTTCACCAGTACCGCTGGCCCAGCCGAACTTGCCCCAACAGATCTTAGAGCGCCCCCGCCCACCGCGGAAATTCCTGACGACTTTTGGCACCCGTTCATTCACGTACATCCTTGGGGCCACTTGGTCTTACCCCGAACTCTCAACTGGTCATCTCTGCGCGAACGTGATATCACCAATGATATGCCAGACCAGGACTAACGCCACATTCCCGATTCCGGCTACCTGCACTATCAGTTCACGAAGTCACTTTTCCCTTTTGTCGACACTTCTCTAGTAAGCACGTCCGAGCGCATACCCGTCATCGAGCTTACAAACCTTAGAGGCCGCAGTCGCTTTCCGTCACCATTCACAGAGTATCATCAACGAACTCCTCAGCGGGAGCTATCACAGCACCGAAAATACTCTTCCACCCACACCCGACGGCGAAAAACTCACTCTTCTGTTACCTCCGCCAGTTCGCCACCGTCGACCTGTACTATACCAAGTCGCCGCTGTCAACCGAGACCGAGCGTCATTCTCGAATCGACTTCTTGGTAACAGGCCCCGACCGCCACGAACTCCGATGTCTACTTCCTGATCAATTTGCTACCAACATACAATCCAACAAGCGTGGATTTGATAAAACTCTGGTCTCCGTCAAGGATTTGGTTTGGGTCTACGTAGTCGAACCTTCTAATCAGGCCTTACATAACCCAGAGGCTGCCTGGGACAGTGCCCGCTCCCCACGTTCTCATACGTTAGACGATCACGCTCGCTTCTTCTTTCGCGTTGCCGAGTACGCCTTTGTTACACCCCAGGGCCGGTAGTAATCTACCCTACCTAATGGCATCATAGATGCCGGCAAGTTGGCACATATCGCGGAAAGATGCCAACTTCGCCGGCAGCTCGTGGATTATAGGTTTTGATAATCTTATGTAACTTTAGCGCGCATTTCATTTCGCACATCAAATTTTGATGACGCACACAGCCGCAAAACTGCTACCTCGCGCGCCGCCGAACCTAAGTGCGTTGACTTCAAGTGCCACCCGTTAACCATTCAACCATTCGGACAACCGTTGCCGATTGCACCAGCAATAAGAGGAACGCATCGGTAAGGGCCGCCTGTAAGAGGGATCAATACATTGCGTGAGAGACTTTGACCTGAAAGAACAGCTGATTGATATGAGCGAGAGAGGGGCGAAATCGGTGCAAACGAAATTTAGAGGGGATTGTCAAAAAAGATAGTGTTTTTTATGGTTCTAAGGCATTACCAGATTTTTTCTCTGTAAGAAAATAGTCGTTTTAAAAAGGAAAAACTCATTTAATGAGAAAAACGATAGTTTTTTGATAGAAAGTAGAGTTTTTTGATTTTTTTGCCTGACGTAATTTGTGTGATATCGCCGCAATTCGCAAACTCACAGACGCCGTCGGCAAAGGTGCCACCACCTCGACGTGGTAGGGGCACGTCGAGATGCCGGCAGCTCCCTCTCTCAAAAGAGCACGCTATTTCCCGTGCTCTCTGACCTGCCGGCAGCTGCCATCTCGCGGATTTCGACGAGCTGCCGGCAGGTTGCCGGCAACTGACATCGCGAAGTTGCCGGCAGCTCCTCCTGCGCTTCCAGATATTTTCTTAAAGGAGAAGTTTTGGATCCGCAAATTTCGATGGAGTTTTCTACAGAGTCGAGGTGGCATCTTTATCGAAAAATTTTTTTGGAATAAGGCCTGGGACGGCCCAAATTTGGGGTCTCACTTCCTGACCACCTCACGGAAAAGGTGCCAGCGACCTGCCGACGAGACCTGCCGCCAGGTCGGGGAGATTACTACCGGCCCAGGAGTCTCGCACCGTCATGGGTCACGTCATCAGGATCCTCTATAGGAACCAACTTCCTTCCAGATTCTCCGCAGCTTTTGCTGGAGCACCCGACGCCGTGATAGTTACGCCTGCCATCTGCTCCTTCGGCATGAATGAAGTAGTCGACGACGAAATGTTATCAGCGCGCTCTAGGCACAACCTTACTACCGCAATACGTTTCTCCGAACCAGCTGCATGGGTGGAAGCCAGGAAGACGTTATGTCAGTTTATTCGGGACACCGTCCCATGCCACCTACACGAGCGAATACTGCCTCTCTCGGTCAGTAAACTCGATGAATCTCAACGATCGTGGCTTAGAAACTACGACAGCTCCTTCGACAACTTCCTACCCAACCAGCGGCTAGCATTCACCCAAATGAACCAGCTTTTTGGCTCCGCGTGCTCGGCACTGGTTGCCTATAAATCGGAAAGGGACGATAGACGCTCCCATCCCATTGAAGCGGTGATCCGCTCCCTGCAAGTATTTCCAATGCGAATTAACTTCGTTCTTACCGGCATGGTCACAGAATGTGGCTGGGACAGAGGCCGAATGGTCAAATTCTGGATCAAGGGAGATCCTCGCACATTTCGCCTAGCCATACACCGATCCCATGTCAACTCTGTGAACCGAGAACTGTCAGCTACAATAGTAGCCCCTTCATGGGCCCATCACACATTAGTCAAAGTAGCGACCCGCTGCGGACGGAAGATGAACACCAGCTACTACGTGCCAGCCGCCGTTCGCCTTGGCAAAATCGGAGTCGCGGCTGAGCCTGCGAATGAGATTGTTTCCCGAATGGATCTCTTCGGCCAAATTCAAAACGGTTCCCCAGCGCACCGCATGCTCAATCGATTATACTCAGCCGCACCCGCCACATGTTCACCATTACCGCAGAATAGGCATGCAAACCCTTGCCAAGCGATGCCCACTCAGTCATGATAAAGGATGCTCGCATAGTCCTAGCGCAAGACCAACTGAGAACGATTAAACTCGGATGCTCCAACTATTCAATCGTCGGCATCCAAGCCGCATATGGCACTGGGAAGACCGTCGTCGGAGCACTCATAGCAGCACGACTTGCTCTGGTCAACAACCACAAGATAGTAGTCACGGCAGCCACAAACACCGCTGTCGTCCAGTTTGCGCGAACACTCCTCTCCTTCACAGAGCTACCACGGTTGAATTTGGTACGATTCCTGTCGGATGCAGCAACAGCTGAGGATCGGTATCCACTGCCCGTGGATCTGTACAACGTCCTCAAGAGACTTGGCGTCGATTTCGACGCGTCTCTCGGACCCCAGGTCAAAGCCATCTGCCGTCGCTTTCGGGAAGATCGGGAACGACTTGAACGTTACCGCGACCGCATGGACGAGGACTTCACTGACGAGGAGCATGAGGACTACATCATGGCAGAGAAGGACGTATCTCAGACCATTTCCGACATGATCGCATTGATGTTCATTCACCGGCCACCACATATGATTTGCATCACAACCCCTCCCTGCTCAATGCCTCTGAGCCCAAAGGAATTTTCGAAGACTACTTCCCTGGTTATGACACCATCATCTGCGACGAGGCGTCGCAGGTTCCGGAGCCTGTTTTCATCGCTATTGCTAGTCGCCTGCCTCAAGCCAGGCATGTGTGCATAGGAGACATGCACCAGCTGCAGCCACACGTCTGTTGTCCTCGCGCCTGCAATCCGGCCCGATATGGAGCACGAAGCCTCATGCAGCTGCAGATGACCTCTCGGGCGGTTCCTGTAGCCTTCTTAGTAACAACGTTTCAGGCTCATCCCCGCTTGAACGACCTTCCCAACATGTTCGTCTACCAAGGGGCGCTTCTAAATGGAGCCGCAGCTGAGCGACGATCGCTTCTCTTGGATTCTATGCAAGTGCCTGATGGCGTCACTCCATTTCTATTTTTGAACGTCGATGGAAGTTCCGTCAAAGCTCCGAGTCGCTCCTATTTTGACTCGACGGAAACAGAGCTCTGCCGAACGATAGTTACTT